TACATTTACACAGTTAGCAACATTACATACATGCAAAACTCCCTTCAGCTGTACAGATAATGCTGAAGGAGTAGAGTGGAGATGATAGAGACCAGACCTGCTGTAGAAAGAACAACAGGGCTTGGAAGCAAGAAGAACCCAGGAAGAGGAAACTGGAAATTCTCCTCGTGCTCACCAGTTGTGTTCACTGAAGCAGCAAACTCAGGTCCTGCCATGAGACCTGCCTTACTGCAGTAAAACACAGTGTTTGTTTGCGGGGTAGCTAAGGACTCTGGCTGTCTAGTGGAGTTCAAGGGCATGCTAGGGTGATTTAGTTTATGGATGATCATTGCATCCTATCTGCTTCTAATCATAGACATGTTAGGACCTTAGACCAGGGAGAGTTTTAATATCAAAACATAACAGGTTGTCCCTGCTGTGGATTATGTCAGTCACCCTTCCTTCAGTCCTTCTACACTGACAGGTGCTTCCCTGCACTAATGAAAGGGTCAGGTGGCATGGCGAGATCACTGTTCACACACTTGTGTGAAAGGGGTCAGGTGGCGTGGCGAGACCACTGTTCAGCCCACACACTTGTGTGAAAGGGTCACGTGGCATGGCGAGACCACTGTCCAGTCCACACACTTGTGTGAAAGGGTCAGGTGGCGTGGCAAGATCACTGTCCAGTCCATACTTGTGTCACTGTACCTGTTTCTCAGGACTGCTGCCTCATCGCTTTTATTTAAGAGACTTCATTATTAAGCATTTACCTTTCAAATGATGGTTCCTTCCTTCCATCTCTTCCCAGCACCCTCTGTCTTCCCCATTAGAAGATGATATTGCATGTTGCTGCCCTTAAAATCCCGTTAAGAGACCATGTCCTAGATTTTTCTTTTCTGCGTGTGTTTGGGTCTCAAGTGACTTGTAAATACTTAAGTATGTCCAACAACAAGACCATAATCATAAATACAGTGTTATATTCTGTAAAGGATCCTGGAACAAATGAACAACGTTAATGAAATCATTGGTGGAATATGAATAAATACTGTAACTTCGGTAATCATTAATTGCTTGGTTTGACCACTATCCTATGGCTATATAAGTTGTAAACATTTGGGGAAGCTGGATCAATGCCACAAGGATGAGAATTTGTTTTGTTTTGTTTTGTTTTTTGGTTTTTCCAGATAGGGTTTCTCTGTGTAGCCCTGGCTGTCCTGGAACTTACTCTGTAGACTAGGCTGACCTCAAACTCATAGAGATCCACCTGCCTCTGGCTCCCAAGTGCTGGAATTAAAGGCATGTGCCACCATCACCTGGCTAAGACTATGAGCATTTTACAAATAACAAGGAAACATAGACACCAACTTTTGTATGAATGTCCTTTTCAAAACATATTTTTCCAGCGTGAGGAAAATTGCAGACCATTAAAGAATGCATTTTGGTGGTTCCAGAAACTGTAACATAAAGAGTAACCCCTGTCTATGTTTATCTCCTTCCCCTTCGGTTTCTGTTCTATCTGTTCCATCAATCCTCACAGCTCCAGGTGTCCACTCTGTGCTGAAGTAAGACATCCTTTACCCCGTCTCTCTCTGGATATTTAGCACATAGAGGATAACTTGATCATCCTCCCTCCATAATAGCCTGATCCCATGCTGGCCAGTGCCATCACCATGCAGTCACCCACACCTGAGACTTCAGAGTCATCTTTGACTCCTTCCTCATCTTCCACCTATTCTAAACGTTGTCAGTACTTAGAAGAAGTCCCTCATATGTGTACACTTGCCCCTTTCAAGATCCCTTTGTCGTTGCCCGAGAAAGAGCTTCGAATATCTTGTCAGGAATCCCTGCCAGATTCTCTCCATCTTCTTTCCTGCCCTGAGAAAGAAGGTGCAGGAGCTGGGTATACTGAGGTACACCTGCACTGGATGAACTTTGGAGGCTCCACAAGTGAAGTCTGCCTCACATAGAGAAACCAGCCTCTCAAAAAACAAAATAAAACAAAACCAGATTAGGAGATGCCCTGCTTTGGTAAGATGCTGCTGTGTGTGCATAAGGACTTGAGGTTGAGTCGCCAGCATCCATGTAAAGAGTTGGTAGCAGCCATGCATGCCTGTGATCCCTGCACAGGGGAGGCAGAGACTGGAGAATCTCTGAGGCTTCCTGGCCAGCCAGCTCAACCAAGTTGGTAAGCCCAAGGCCAATGAGAGACCCTGTCTAAAAACATTAGTGGAGAGCAATCAATCTCTGGCCTCCACATGCACATTCACACACATGCTTGCACGTGCACACACACACACACACACACACACACACACACACACACACACACACACACACACAAGCATGTGTGCACAAAGGTCAGTGACTATTTTGCTGCTGCCCTAAAGAAATAATATACAATTATACCAAAGAGCACAAATACCATAGCTAAATTAGATGGTCAGTTTGAATCTACCTCCCTCCTTCCTGTCCTCAACTCCAAGAATCTGGAAAGAGCACAGTCCTTTGTCCTTAGAAAGTCTTGACCTTGAATCCCAGCTTCATGATCCTGGGCATGTTAGTGTTTACCTCTGAGCCCATTTCTTTTTCTATAGAATGGGTCTATACTTAATGCTCAGAACAGCTGTCAAGGCGGGGTGAAATGATGTATGATGAGTTAAAAATAGGCTCCTCTTACTGTTTGTTATTGATGCTTAAAATGAGTGGTCTCTTGATCACCACTGTCCTGTGTGTCAATGAAGTAAAGGTTGGTTGTATCTCTTGATCCCTCAGACTATGGCCCGCTTTCCACAAGGGGCCTTTCTCTAGGAAAGCTACTGCAGCATGGCAGCCCTTTCCCTAGACATTGCCAGCCCCATGGGGCGTGTGCTCTGCTTCCTCCCACAGATCAGCCCTGGACCACTGGAGAGGAAGGGAGCCTGGCCTCAGGATCCACGTTCTGTTTCCATAATGCAATGCCCTCACCATGTGGTTTGTGAATGGTGCTGTATTTTGAAGTATAACTCTTCCATTCCTACTCTACTTTCCTACAGTTCCAACCTAGAATGTAGCTGTTTGGTCCTCCATGAGCCACGTCTTTGTCCAGCTGATTCATTACCCTTCAGCAGTGTGGTACAGGACCTGGTATATAGTGTGTGTTTGATCAACAGAAGATGGATAGAGAGCTAAATATGTTCACCGCTAGAGTTTGGCGACTAACCTATCCTTAACTGGAAGACTGAATAAGGAAGTTTCCCAGCAAGTTATATATTAGGCTTCTAAACCTTGGCTGTGCTAGTAATAGGAGAATGTTTGCTTAACAGTGACTTCTGTTCTCTCCCCGTGTATGTAAGTAAGTTCTTTCACTTCCTAAAACTGCCCCAGTGATTCTGATGGGTAGCCAGAGTTGGGCTTTGTTGTTCTAAAAGGCTTGTCCCATGCTTCAGTGTTTCCAGGCTGTAATCTAATTACCAGTTGGTTTATATCCTTTAGCCTTGCTGGGCTCCATGCTTCTTGGACTCAGATATGGAGACTTGCTGGTGCTTGGCATCTAATGATGGTCATACGTGTTAGTTGAGTAAGGTGGTTTCATTTCAAATACAAGATAGAGCTGGAGGGAGAGTGCAGCCGTTAAAAGCTAAGGCTCACAACCAAACCACAAGATTATTGCATAGTACCATGTAAGACAGAGAGAAAATACTAGCCATTGTCAGTTCGACTTTGGATTTGGTTTGTATAGCTAGTGTTTCCATTTGTGTTGTTTATTTTTTTGAGTCAGGGTCTCACTGTAGAGCCCAGGTTGAAGTCAAACTCAAGATTCCCCTTTCTTAACCTCTCAAGTACTGGGATTGCAGGTGTATACTGCCCCCTACCATGAGCGCGCGCGTGCGTGCGTGCGTGCGTGCGTGCGTGCGTGTGTGTGTGTGTGTGTGTGTGTGTGTGTGTGTGTGTGTGTTGTTTCTAACGGTCTCTACTTGGCTCCCTTTCTCGGGAGCTGCTTGCCCACAATTACTGTTTCTGATTCACTCACTGCCATCTGTCTAGATCCTAGAAATTGACAACAGCTAATGAAATTTATTGGAGAGTCTCAGTTTACAGTTTTATACTATTGTTACCATCTGCGCCCCAAATCTAAAGTTAATTTCAATATGCCCTTAGAGATACAGTTGAATTAGTTACTTTTCTGTTGCTGTAACAATAAGGCGACATATATATGTCATCTAATTGGGCCTGTGGTTTTAGAGGGTTAGGGTCCATGATGGCTGAGCAAGGCGTGGCAGGGACAGCTGAGAGCTTGTGTCTTGATCCACAAGCAGAGGGTAGACAGAGGCACACTGGGAGTGACATGATTCTTTTAAAACCTCCGAAATCCACCCCTGGTGACAACACCTGCTTTAACAAGAGTACACCCCCTAATCCTTATCAAACAGTTCTACCAAAAGGTGACCAATATCCAAGCCTACGAGCCTTTTGGGGCCGTTTTTATTCAGATCAGCACATTATTGTTACAGCTGCTAAGATGTTAGAGCTATCAAGTTCAGTTGTTCTCGTTACGCGTCATAGCAGCCGGACCCGCATAGAAGCTGGGTGTGAGATGTACGTAAGATCACACAGCTTGTTAGAGACAGAACTAGTACAGGGAACCAGAAGCAAGGCCAGGCAGACTGGCACACTCCTGTAATCCCGGCATCTGTCGGGGCTAAAGCAGAAAGATTTTAAGTTCAAGGCCACAGGGGGCTCCATATCAAAAACTTATCTCCAAAAACCAAGAGAACAAAGACAAAACAACAAAAATCAGATGTGTCCTAGAACACTACATAATATATAGCATTTCAGATAACATTCGAAATGACAAATCATATTTATTTATAGTATTTGTGTTACAAAGAAACGTATCAGAGGAAAAGGTGGTGTTAGAGGTTTCTCAGAGGGTGGGGAGGGGAGAGGCCGAGGGCAGAGGACGGAATTCTGAAGGAGACTTAACATAGGAAACGTGTGTCTCAGGGCCCATCGGTCACTTGTGTGTCTGCCTTTGCTTTCAGGATTTTCCCCAGAGAGTACCTCCTTCAGCAGATCCACCTGTATTCCCTCGCTGACCTGCAGCAGGTGAGTGCTCAGAGGGGCCTTTGCGGTGGTTGTTTCCGGTCAGAAGTCACTTTGTGGGTTACGGTTTTGGTATAGAATTAATCTGTCATTGTAGTAGTTTCACATTCCATTAATTTGTATTCTGAGTAGGAGGGAGATTTAGTATAAAAAGATCCTGTGACCAATACCAGGGGATGGAGAGTCACTGGAACTCTGACACATTGCTGGTAGGAAGTCGAGTGGAATAGCCGTTTGGAAAGCAGTTTAGCAGCTCTCAAAAAGTTAGAGTTACCATATAATCCAGAGATTGCACTCCCAAGTATATGCCCAAGAGAGGGAAAAACGTATGTCCTTATGAAAACTTGTCCATGAGTGCTGGGTAGGGTGATATGCACCTGCAGCTCCAGGAGACTGAGGCCCCACAGCTACCACAGCAAGATCCTGTCCCCAAAACAAATGAAACAAAACCTTTGTAAGAATGCCGGTGCAACGTGATTGACAATAGAAAAAAAGGTGAGGAACAACCCAGATGTTCATCAACTGAGAGGTCTTGTTTATCATTATTTTATAACATTGTCTAACCATAAAAAGAGTGAAATAGTGATCCACACTACAACATGGATGAGCCTTATCATGCTAAGAATCCAGAGAGGAAAAAATATGTATCTTTGTAACAGTTTAAGTGGCATGTCCACAATGAGGAAATTCACAGTGACAGAAAATAGACCAGTGGTTCCAGGCTCTGGAAAGAATGGAGGTGAGGAGAGACTGCCAATGGATATGGGATCTCTTCCAGGACTGAACTAGAGAGTGATGATGCCTTGTGAACATACTAAAGATACATTGATTGTTTTCTTTAAAATAATTTTATGTGATATGAATATTTCAACTAAAAATTATGTGAAGAAAAAAGGTGTGAGAAAGGCAGTGAGTGAATGCGTAAGGCCTTCAGGTGTGCTGAAATCTAACAGCTGGATAACTTTTAAAGTTTAATAAAGCACAGCAGAGCGCAGAAGAGAGTCAAACCAGCTTTTACTATTTTGTCAGTGCGTGTACTTTTAATGATTGACCAGGTTAGCAGCCAGGAAGAAACCACGGCTCTGTGTGCTCAGCCCTAAGTTCTGAGTATGCTTCGCTTTGGTTAATCATTTAAATCAACAACACACTCCCTAAAAAGCTGCTAGACACTAAATGAAAGCATTACTTTCTAAATAAATACTGATTCTTTGAAGAACCAATCAAAAAATAATTGTGACAACCTTCAGAAATCTCGAACTGCTCGGAGTCTGCCCTTTCTTCCTCTGGTTGGTTTACCCAAAAGAAATGAGCTCTGCTCAAAAACTTCCATCATTTTTCAGACTTTCAATTACCTTTCAAGGTTTCTGGTATGCCGTTTTTTAATTTAAAATATTAAGACTTTTTTGTGGAGGTAAGGCAGTTATTTTAAATAATAATAAAAAAACAAACTAATGTAGCATTTAGTTGGAGCAGCCTGAGAGAAGGCTAGGATGAGTCTATATTCTTTGTCAAGTTTAGACCGGTTTGCTCCTCCAGTCCTGCCCACCTTCCCCATAGGCAAGCACCCAATGGAATCGGCTGGTCAGGGCACGGAGGGGTGGAATAAAACAGCACTGCCCTTTAAGGAGGCCCTTCAAAACGAGTTTTGGTGTCAGAGGAAGAGGGAATTGCAGTATTTCCGTATCCATTTGGAATAAAAGAGCAGCCTGCTTCTTAAAGCTTCCCTGTACCCCGCTGTCTCCCCACACGGCCCTTTCTTTTTCCTTCTTGTAATAGTCAAACTGTACATGCCAAGCAGCTTACTTAAATCGGTGACAGTGGTGTTCTTGGTGGGCCAGGCCATTAGCCCCCGGAGCCCCGTAAGTAGCTTAATCAGTTTTGAGCTGGGCCATGGAGTGGTAGAAGCAATGGCCAGCTTATCAAACTCCCCGTGGGTGGAGGCTGGAACTCAGTACATCCATTTATGTAGCAGCTCATGCTAACCTGGTTCTTTGTGCCTGGCTTTAAGAGCCCCAAACTTATCATATTTAGAGGAAGTTTAATTCAATTACTGCTTCTGCCTGAGGTGGACTAAATTGCATTTGGCTTTTGATCTGTATCTTGGCTATCAGCCCTGAAGAGCACCCCTGCTCATCTCCCTTTGGTTTCTGGGTAAATAACAAGTATGTTTTCTATTTGTTATTTTGAACTGCTCTCCCATATAGGAAAGGGAAGGGACCTGGAGGAGGAAAAACAGTAGTAGTGTTTTTTGTGAAGAGTGTATCAGGGTAGCAGGAACCCTTCCTGGCTGACCAGCCATACCTGCCTGGATCTGAGACATCCTGGCCTCTCCCTTCCAGTCTTTGTCCCCTTCAGGACTGCTGGAGTCAGTGATTTTCTCCCATTTGATTCCATTCCTTACTCGTTAGGGCATCTATGAAAGCAAACTTAACTGTGGGAAAAAGAGTTTTTAGGTATATGTTTTATAGTGAAAGAAAGAGAAATTAATAAATTATTGAGAAGCATAGCTCCTGAACAATAACAGAGTCCTTTTTTTTTTGTTTTTTGTTTTTTTTTTTTTTTTACAAATTTCTCTTGCGAGTTTGATTTTTTTAAAAGAACTTTTCAAGAAAGGTTATGATTTCATAGGCGTACTAGCTGGTTCAATGGCTCAGAGGATAAGGCACTTGCTGCCAGCCTGCTGAGCTGAGTTTGATCCCCGGAACCCCCATAGTGGAAGGAGAGGCCTGAGTGTTGACAGTTGTCAGTCGTTGTCTGACCTTGCACATGCACGTATGTGTGCACACACTCACACACGCAAGTAAGTAAATAATAGATATAGAAAAGAGGAAGTTGAAGTTTATGCATAATTGTAAGGTAGTAGAGTACACGAAGTACTAATATTATTTAAAGATGCTGAAAACATTCTGGTACCAAAAAATTGCACCCCTCATGTTTCATTTATATAACACCCCTCAAAATTTCAGCAATTGTACTCAATCACCAATGGCTGGAGACTCTCAGCGACCTAATAGATCTTTTGTTACAGTCAAGAAATCACTATTCTTATTTTCTGCCTCCTTGGAATGCATTCATTCTTACTACAGTATACGTAGATATGTGGGAATAAATTGCAAGTGCCGACAGTTGCTTTCCTGTTGTGCTGAGAGCTAATCGCCTGTAGTCTTTGGCCAAGTATGTGCTGGTGCCTGTGTTTCTCCAGTGGCTAGACTGCTCTCTGGATATCACATGCATGGAACATAGCCAGTCAGTAGCACGTTGTGTGACTAGTCAGTCGGCAGCATTTTCTGGAACATATGAAACAGAGCCAAGGATCGTTCTGACCTAATGGCAGGGCCAAGGAAGTGACATTTTAGGGAAGGCAAAGGTTCTCCAATTCCTGGGAGATCTAGGGCACACCAGCTTGATGCACTTATTTCTTAAGACTGGATTCCAGATGAATTCTGTTCAGCAAAAAGAGTATTATGAAAATGGTTATCAGGCTGAGGTGGTGGTGGCACATGCCTTTAATTCCAGCCTTCAGAAAGCAGAGGCAGGTGAATCTCGGAGTTCAAGTCCAGCCTGGTCTACAGAGTTCCAGGACAGCCAGGGTTACAAAATGAGATCCTGGCTCAAAGAAAGAAAGAAAAGCTATGAGTTTGTTTTTTTTTTTTTTTTAAGACATTTTCTATTTCCGTGTATCTATGTATACTTGTGTGTGTGTGTGTGTGTATGTGTGTGTGTGTGTGTGTGTGTGTGTGTGTGTGTGTGTGTGTGTGTGTGTGTGTATGTGTCTGTGTGTCCACAGAAGCCAGAAAAAAGTGTCATATCCCCCGAAGCTGAAGTCATAGGCAGTCATGAGCCATCCACCAACGGTGCTGGAAACCAAACTTAGGTCCTCTGTATGAGTAGCAAGAGTTCTTAGCTGCTGAGCATCTTTCCAGCTACTACTTTTAAGTTTTCTGTGGGAGACCTTATTTTGTTTGGGGTATTTCTTGTTGTTTGTTTCTTACAAAAAAAATAATTACAGAGACTTTCCTTTAGGAAGGGCAAATGCATCCTGTCTTTCAGACTCTGAAAGCAATGTCAAAAAGGCCAAGCAGGCAACTGCTAAGCTTTTGTGAACACGTGGACATGGAAAAGTAGAATTTTTTTTTTCTGAGACAGGGTTTCTCTGTGTAGTCCTGGCTGTCCTGGAACTCACTGTGTAGACCAGGCTGGCCTCAAACTCAGAGATCTGCCTCTGCCTCCCAAGTGCTGAGATTAAAGGCATATTCTACCAACACCTGGCAAAAGTGGAATTTTTTAATAAGTAAAATTCTTTCTAAGAGTTTTTCCTTGGTTTGATACCTTGAGAAGAGGGAATAGAGTTTGTTTTATTGTTTTATGTGTATGGGTGTTTTCCCTGCTTGTACATCTGTGCACCATGTGATGCTTGGTGCCCATTGAGGCCAGAAGAGGGTATCAGATCCCCTGGAACTGGAGTTAGACAGTTGTGTGCTACCATGTATGTGCTGGGAATCAAATCCAGATCCTCTGAAAGAGCAGGAAGTGCTTTTAACCACTGAGCCATCTAGTCAGCCCTGGTTTTCTTATTTTCCAATGTATTCGGCATCATCACAGATCCATGAGAAGGCTTTAAGACAGAAATATAATAGAAAGATGTATCCCAACAAGATTTCAGATACAGTACCACATTCTCAATGCCTCTTTCCTCTGTTCCTGGTGACTGGTAGACAAAACATCCCCCTTACTTCTGCCCCTTTGATTTTTTTAACAGTGATTTAAAAGGTTCCAGATTCTGCCAACAGACTGAATTAGTGTATGTAAGTTTCTTTACAGCAGTTCTTACTTGTTTGTGTGGAGCCAGTTAGAAACCTGGTTTAATATGCCATTCCCTAGACTGTGTAAACAAGAGAATTCTTCCAAAGTTCCTTCTGAAAGGAGAGGCCGGATTGAAATTTGACCTGTGCTCTGAAACAAAACCTAAAATATTTATTAATCACTAATTCTTGTGGTGTTAC